GAATACAACACCCCTGCAATGTTTAGGAGTGTATTTCCAGATATGCTGTACCAGCCACAATCACTGTGCTGCCTCCAACCTACAATGAGGCTGCCTTGTTTTAAGAAAAGAAAGAGTGCAAGTTCTCTTACATTTCCAATCTTTTTCTCTTTTTTTACAGACAGACTTTGCAGTGCCTGTGCTTCATTTCAGTGAAGCTTTTGATGTTTTATTCCATAGAGCAATGATCCTGAGAACAGATTAGATCTAGTACTCCTACAACAATTTGAAACATTCCCCTCCTAGCCTTGCAGGAGCTAAGACCACTCTGCTTGCCCTACACAACCAGCATGGCCTAGCACTGTTTAGTCAGGCTGCCAACTCTAGTGGGTAGCACCTGCCAGCATTATTTGGGGTCTTTAAGTCTTCCACATTTCTTCCAAGAACCACATTAATCAAAAGAGGCTATAGCCAGGAAATTTATCAACAGAAAGCATGACTGCTCCTGTATCTGGCTATTTCCAACCTGTCCTGGCATATTTGATTTTGGCTTTTGAAAGGGGCCTTCAGTGTTCCACAGAGGTCTCCTGAGAAGAAAAGTAAATTACCCTTGAATTTACCCATTCTGACTTGCATACAAGAAAAGTCAACAGGAGAACCACTTGCTGTAGTGCAATATGAACAAAACCCTTCTTACCAGCATGCAAAGCTCTATATTTACTCCTTTTAATTCAGAACCAACACCAATAGGAGAACACAGGTGTAGGAATACAAGGAAATACCATGTCAACATGAGCTGGCCCAACCTGAAGCAGTATTGTCACACTGGCAGCATTTCCCTGAAGCTTCTGGTAAGGACTGCAGCCAAGAAGATGACCAAGAATAATTCAGGCATCTGGAGAGACATGAACTGCTATACCAGGGAAAGACAGAACAGTGCTCACTTATGAACTTTGCAAGCTGGTGATAGAGCCTGGCATCACAGATTAACTACCTGATACCAACACTGCTGAGATGGACAACAGCAGTCTTTGAGGCAAAGAAGTTATCTTACATTTTCTGCAACAGAAAGGAACCACCAGAGGGTGCAGACAGTGACTGAATCGACAAAAAAAAAATGTCTGCAGAAGCACTCAGACTAAAAATGTATTTGTCATTCAGCTCATAGTGAAGGAGGAGGGGAAAGGAAGTTGCCAAGACAATAGTGATTTATTCACTCTCACCCGAACTTCTGTTGAACAGATCAAAGAATCATCTTATGATGTTCAGGAAGAACCTACAGGATTTAGATCTAAAGCAAAGCAATAATCCAAGACTACAGTTTCTGCTATGACTGTGACGTTGCACACAAAATGGAGAGCATAACACAGAAGAGCAGGGAATAAACCGTATTAACAAGACTGAGAATCAGCAGACACTGATGTCCACAAGATAGCAACCAAACAAAAAGAATTGGTTGTGATGTTGAAAGAAAGAACAATCTGCAGAAGAAAGGAAAAAAATCCTCAAGGTTACCACAGAGACTGTAACTGGCATTTGCAGAAAATACTGACCAGAAACCATGTGAAAGAAACTCTCTTAAACCCTGAAGACAGAAGTAGGAGGAAGACAAGCTAAAGAGTCTCATTTAAGCTGAGGGAACGAGGGAAGGTACAGGACAAATTACAAGTGTTCTGAAAAAAGTTTCACATCTCCTCTCTCCACATAGCATTTTTCCAAACCTGCTGAAAGGAAAGTCACCTTTGTACTACAACTTTTCCCACCTTCTATACCTTCCAGAACTATTTCTGAATGAGCTGTGTAAGAGTTTCTCTCTGTTCTACTGAACAGAGAAACCCATTCCAGAGATACTTCAAGAATGGGAGTGCTTTTCTCTTTCTGTACATACCCAAGACTCGAGGTCACCTTGCCTATGTACTAGTTTTTGCTACATCAGACACCAGTGAAGTGTGACTGCCAACCCTGTTCTGCTCCAGTATCAGCAAAAGCTGGGAACCCTAAAATGTGTCTGCTCTTCATCCCACAATGAATTCTAACAAGACAGATGCAGAGCAGCATACAAGTGGTACACAAGAAGGTGATACCATTCCCTTGTAACAAAAAGGAACTCAAGCCTACCACAAATATAGACAGCCCACACAGCAATGGTTACTACCCTCAAATAAACTCCATTTGAGGACCTATGAGGAGGATTCTCCATGCAGACACTGGTTTGGTTTTGACGTATCTTGTTAACTGCAAGGGGTGAGGTTTGTTATAGGTGGCCAAAACACAATTAGTCCATGCAGTGGCTGGAATGTGATTAACAGCAGTAATGGCTAAAAAAAAATGAACATATGCCTAACATTAAAGAAATGTCAGTGATGACAATAAACAGCTCGACTGTTATAGCAAGCTAACATTACAGAAAAACAAATCCCCAGCCCCCAAGACACCAAGAAGCCACATATAGGTACAAACAAGCTTACCGGCAATGGAAACAGCTTTCCATTTACTTTAATACACAAACTATTAGGATAATTATCTTCTTGAGGGCAGCTTGTCTCTGCTAGGCATAACCTGTATCCCGAAATAAAGAAAGCATCATTTTCAAGTGTCATCACAAACATCCAGACTTGTGCTACATTAGTCAATTAAAAAGCTTTTAAGAGAACACTACAAAAAAGGTACCTTAGCTGAACTTGTACTGTGTAATCTCTCCTGCCTCCAGGCAAGAAGTCCCTGTGACGAAGAGAAACAAAAAGAGAAGCACCCACTTAGACAGCAGGACCCATATTCCAGCCATATACAGAAAGAATTGGCACAACTGCCCCTCAGCATCATTAAACTTTGCTCTTAGTTTTCTTTTACTGAGCTATGAACAAGTCTTACAAGCGACACTTCTGTTTAGCTACTACAAGTTATGCAGGTTTTGAGGATCAGCATCCTCTACCCAGAGCTTATAGTGACAAACTGTGATGTTGCCAGAGAGGAAAAACCCCTATGAATTCTCTTGGCTTACACCACTGGACTTTCAACAGCATGAACCTTGGGAGAAGAGGTAAAAGCAGCCTTCCATTCCTGCAGCCAGGAAACATACAGGGAAGAGAAGCATACTATCTCTCTAAATAGTGACAATTATTTGGAACCAAGTAATTGCTAACTCTTTAATGGGGTAGGATTTACTGCAAATGCACATAAATTCTGTACACAGTAGTTCCTTAACAAAACAGAACAGACAAACTCAGCATAACTTTAGTGAGGATTACCACTCTGCATATGCAGAGCTTATGAGATGCACAAAATGAACCAAAGCCCTGCACTTTCACCTGAAATTTTGCAGAAGTTTACTATACTATGCCACAGTCTTACTTCTTACCTGGAAATACAGATTTCTCTGACCTGCTGAGGTGTTAAAGCAAAGATAAAAAACTTCTCTTGGAACCTCTGAATACTGCTCTGTACTAGAAAAGAGAGAAAAAGACAAAAAAGAGGTTGAACCATGGTGATTAAAGTCATTGATTTAAACTGAATCTGCAACTGAATTTTTCCTGGAACGAGGCAAAGGCACTGAATATACTCAAATTGTGGCTGACCTGCATGTAACTGTCAACAGGAAAGCAATGGGACAAATCACTCATTCAACTACATTTAGATGGCTTAGTATCACATTACACTTCAGTACTAAAGCAGCTTGGCAAACTGCATTATAATCCTTTCTCCCGAGGGAGGCAGGCTGAAACAAATACACAACAAAATATTACACTGGATACCTGACAAAAGGAGTATCACAGAGATACTGACAACTATTGTAATGTACTACAGGAAGACAAAGTTATTAGTGGACAGCTGAAAAATTCAGAAACTACTAAAGGTAATTAAACCTTTGGGAGGGAAGGGAGGGAGCACAGCTCCTAATGACAGAGAGGTCACCTAGGCTTCGTGTCTGGAATTACTCCTCAGCACCATTTGGCAAAATAGAAAAATAAATAAATACAACTTTCCTATCAGATACCAGCTTGTCTGTCAGTAATGGGAAGCAGCAATATTTTAGTGTTGAAGTTTTGAAGCATGCATGTGTTACTTCTCTATTTTTCTTCAAATTAAAAAGTTAGGAATCTTGACCTGAAACACAGATAGATTAGACTTGTCCAATTAAAAGTAAGCAGCAAGGAGGACAAATGCAAAACCAGCACAACTAAACCAGGGAAATTTGGAAGAGTTAGACTGTATTGTACACTGTGGCATTCAGAAGATATAATATGTATGCCCAGAAAAAAAATATACACAAAAGGGCCCATTATTTCCATATCAAGTATTCCTCACATCTCATTGCCTCACTCCTCCAGGACACTGTGGCACTGATGGATGTTCTCTGCAAAGTTAATGGCAGCATGAGTCAGAACTGTCCAACACCAAAGCAGCAACTGCACCAATACCCGGGTCAATATTAAACTCTCCTCTAGCAGGGTGCACTATACATAAAGAAGTAACAACAGACACTGTAAATAACGCTTGTTAGTAAAGTTTTCTGCATTAGGTACTGGAGGATAACCAGTGATCAGTATATGTCTCACTGAGGTGCAAGTCACAACCTCAAAGACCTTTTGATCAGTTAAGACACCACAATGTTTTAAAGAATGCAAACAGCATGCAAAATGCTGAGGTACTTCTAAACAATACTACTAAACAGTAGGAAACATTCTTTAGCATGTAAAGTAAGCCAGGTTGAACTTCAAGTCAGAAGATGTCTTTCCAAATAATTAAATATGTTGAAGTGCTTGAGGGACATAAACTGAATTTCAGGTTATTTGGAAGACAAAGGACAACTCCTGAATGTAACATATTTGACAGCTGAGAAAACCTTCCCTACTCTGAGCAGAAACACTGAATGTCTCAGCACAGAGTATCTATTTCAGTGCCAGGCCTGCAGAATTGCTACACTGAGGCAAGAGGTTAATTTGTTCCCTCTACACTGTTGCAACTTGTAAATTAGTGACCCTGAAATCCTTTTCCTGTCGGTCCTGACAGAACTAATCTTCACTTCCACCAGGCAGAAACTTCAGGTCCGAAATTTTCAGCCAAAACTGACAGTTCAGACTAGATATTAGGAAGCATTTATTTACCAAAAAGGTGGCAAAACACCAGAACAGGCTTCTTGGAGAGATGGTTGATGCTCCGAGCCTGTCAGTGTTTAAGAGGCATTTGGACAATGACCTTAATTATTACACCTTAACTCGTCATGCAGTTGGATGATCATCGTAGGTACCTTCCAACAGAACTATTCTGCTCCATTATTTAATATTCAAAAGCCAAAGGTCTTTAATCATACTACATTTACAAAAGAGAACACTGTTTTCTGAAGTGTGGCTTTGCACTTCTAGGGACAACTGAGGAAGCACGAAGACAGGGCAAGGGTAGAGATGAGAACAGAAGAGAGTTTCCACTTCTCACCAGCTGCAAAGAGGCATTTAAGTCTGGCCTCAGTACTGTCAGAAGCAACGCTTATCTCATGAATTCAGCAACCTAGAGAGCTATTAAACACTTACCTAGACTTGTAGGTTTTATGAGCACATCAAGCACATCATAAAAAGGTAAGCTTTTCAGCTGAACATCGGGGTGAACAGGTGGGATTGGAGGGGATGGCTGCTGCATCTCAAAGTGGCTCTTGGTGTCCTGGAGGAGCACAGAACTGACAGGCGAGGATGGAGACTGAGGCGTCACTGAAGTAGAAGGGACTGGGTGAATGCCAGCAACTGCTAGGTCAGGCTCAACAGAAGAGGAACTACTGTCCAAACTGAATGCTGCAGGTTTTATAGCTGACAAATCCGAAAGTCCTTCAATCGTCCTTGGGTACCGATGCCTATAGAGTTCTCGGATTTTGATCTGAACTGCTGGGCTACAGCCACTCTTCAGTAAGTGCAGTGCCCTCATCAGGAGGTCATGTTTCCGCCCACTTTTATTACGTCCAGCAAACCCCAGCAACACTTGCAGTTCAGAAACACGAAAACTTGATACCATATTCTAGAAAGGAAATAGAGATAAGCACAGTGAGCCAACTGTACCCCAAGGAGGCCTTTTTGAGGAGCATGGTGAAGCATCTATCTTCCAGAATTCCAGCTGGACACTTGTCACCTTAGGTATTACCCACACCCTTACCAGACAAGAGTACAGTTAGTTTAAATGAAGATAAAGTGTCCAGGATGCAGGTTGAATTAGGCTGTGTTAATAATTTCAAAGACTTGTTTCCACACTCCAACAATAGTATCAACAGAACCTAATGCAACCCAGGCGGCACTACCTGAAATTCACAGCAGAAACACAAGCTCTAACACAACCGTTTCACTTCATGGAACAAACAAACAAACCAAAACAAACAGAAAAATAAAATCAGAGTGTGCTGGTTTGGGCTGAAGTAGACTTTCTTCACAGAGGCTAGTATGGGGCTATGTTTAGGATTTGTGCAGAACACAGAGTTGATAATGCAGAGACGGTTTTGTTTTGTTGTAGCAGAGCTTACACAGAGTCAAGGCCTTTGCTGTGATCCGTACTGCCACACTGGCAAGGAAGCTGGGGAGGAGACACAGCTGGGACAGGTGACCCAAACTAACCAAAGGGATATTCCATACCATATGACATCATGCTCAGTATATAAGGTGGGAGGAAGAAGGAGGAAGGGAGGACATCTGGAGTGATGGTGTCTGTCTTCGCAAGGAACTGCCACGCATGATGGGCCCTGCTCTCCTGGAGATGGCTGAACGCCTCCTGTCTGTGGGAAGCAGTGAATTAATGCCTTGTTTTGCTATGCCTGTATGTGCAGCTTTTGCTTTCTCTATTAAATTGTCTTTATCCCAATCCATGAGCTTTTCTAGCTTTTACCCTTCCGATTCTCTCCCTCATCCTGTTGGTGGGGAAATGTGTAAGCAGCTACGTGGTTCTTGGCTGCTGGCTGGGGCTAAACCACAACACGGAGGAATCAGTATTATCACCTGTCTTCCTACACATTTTAAGTACTTCCTGATTTTATGTCTTAATTTCTGCATAGTGTATTTTGAAGCTTCCTTTATTTTGGACAGCATGTTCAAGACGTGCATGAGACAGGCACATCAAGTTTCACTGCTGAAAGGACGGCACAGTAAGGTGGAGAGTTTTTAAACAGTTACGTTGTATCATGCTGTACACACCATACAATACACATAAACAGTTTAACCACCACAATTGATTCCTCAAACATCGCAGAACCTTCCTGTGCTTCTCAGATAACATTCTGATATCGCAGATCACAAGGTCTCTTCAAAGGAAATAGTACTATTTACTTGGTTATTCAAGTTGGTTGTGGGAGACTTTAAGGGTTGAACTATTTAAGCTCGTGAACAGAAAATTTTCTCATACAAAAAAATTTTAAAAATCACTATGCAAGAGGAAATTATCTTTTCCACCATTACTACTAACAAGTCATTTTGCGTAGGCTCATCATCTCGCATTTTTGTGAGCAAGCTCTTTTCACAGGCATAAAATTGTCCAGAATTCTTCTAACCAACTTCCTTCCTATTTCTGCGAGACTCTTCCACTGTAACAAAGAGGCAAAGTTTTAAAGATTAAAGACTTACACCCAGCTTTAACCTGTGCTTCTGCACCATGACAACTCCAGACTCGGGGATGGGCAACTGAAGGCCCTAACAGAAGGTATAAAGTAGCAGACAACTGGGATCATAACAGGTATAAACAGTTCAAAAGTGCATTTTGACTTTTGATAAAGCTTTGGGCACTGATTTCGGAAGGGACTGAACTCAAAACAGTGTTTAGACTTCACCTTCCCTAATCCTTATCACACAGAGTTTACATCCACATGTACTAACACAGATTTGATCTCAGCTGAAGTTTTAGCACAACTATTATACAATCATGAAGTCAGTTATGAAAAAACTCAAAACTTCTCCTGTGTCCCAAGCTGCTTGGTCCCTATTCTCCTCTTAATATTGTCAAAATTGTTTTGACAATAAGACAGATCAGGGAATTGTGTCAGATGAACACTGAACTTAGAATCATGGAATCACGTAGGTTGGAAAATTAAAAATGGACTCAAAGACCATTGAGTCCAACCATCTCTCCAGCACTGCCAAACCCACCACCAGCCCATGTTCCCAGATGCCACATCTACATGGCTTATAAATCTCTCCAGGGGTGGTGACTCCACCACTGCCCTGGGCAGCCTGTGCCAGTGCCAAACCACTCCTTTGGTCAAGAAATTTTTCCACAATATCCAATCTAAACCTCCCCTGGCACAACTTGAGGCCATTTCCTCTTGTCCTGTCACCTGTTACTTGGCAGACCAACTCTCACCTGGCTACAGATTCCTGTCAGGGAGCTGTAGAGAGTGAGAAGGCCCCCCCTTAATTTCTACAGGCTGACCCATCCCAGCTCCCACAACCTCTCCTCACAGGACTTGTGCTCCAGACTCTTCACTAGCTCCATTGCCCTTCTCTGGACACACACCAGCCCTTCAATGTCTTCCCTGTGAGGGCATTCGAGGTGCCTCAGCAGTGCCCAGCACAGGGGGATGATCACTGCCCTGGTCCTGCTGCCACACTATTGCTGATTCAGTCCAGGATGCCATTTGCCTTCTTGGCCACCTGGGTACATGCTGGCTAGTGTCCAGCTGCTGTCGATGGCCATTTCCTGTGCCATTAAAACATAGCAGGAGCAAGCAGCAAGAGTCTGACTTCTCATGGGATACATTATGTGTGCCCATCAAAACAACCATCTAAAATACTCTGGCAGTACTCTGATCATGTACATCTTTTCCTCATGGCTGAGGGAACAAGGTTATCATATTTCAGACACTGAATTTCAACATTTTCAGACAGCCCATTTAGATAAAGTGGCACCTCTATGAAGCAGCTGTCAGGGAGCTAATACAGCATCCTCCAAGCAGGTATTGCCCCAGCACCTCATCTATAAATACATGATGGACACAGCAGCACTGAAAACACTGTCACACGAGGCGCTGCATGGTTCACCCTAACTTCTGAAGAGGCCAACAGCAGATGTCATCTTAATTTCATCCCAGCAACTTCTCTTAACAACAACACAACACAAGAAAAGAGGAGATGGAAACAGAACTCTGAGTTTGCACACTAATGGAGAAGGTTAATTTCCACCTGGTATTCCCCTTCTATTTTCCCCTTACTCTCAGTCAAGCAGAGTGAGGAAAATAAAGTGTTTCAGCATTCATAAAAATGGCTTAAAGTACTATAACAGCTTTATAGTTATGCCACATAAAAGAGAAATTGCGTTAAAAGATAATACTGATATTCATGAACTTACTGAGAACGTCACGTTGTGTGCTTCCACAGATAGCTGCATAAGCTTGATAGCCACGCTAGCTCCTTTATTTCAGATACAGACAGTAAGCATGATTCTGGATTCCATAATCAGAATGCAAATGAGTAAAATAAACCTTTACACTGATATTAAGGAAACAGCATGTATTGCAAAATACTATTACCCTGCCTGCTGCCTTCTGTGCATTCTTGTAAGTTAATCAAGGTGAAATGTGCAGTCAATCACACTTCGGTCAATCACTCCATGAAATAGAGAACAGTTTATACGGAAATTCCACAAATCACAAGATGGATTTCATTGTATTAGAAGACACTGGCTGACTTCAGTACCATAGTCACCAAAATTTTAAATTAACACTTGCATTAAAAATGCTCAAGAGCATAAAAAAATATACAGTTTTGTCCCTCAGCCCAAAAATCTTACATGGGCTTTTGTAAGAACTCTTAGAAAGGTAAGGTTTACCAGAAGTAATTAAAAAATGGCTTTTACAACACTTTCCCCCTAAAGCTTATTCAACATTCCCTTTAAGACAATAAAACCCATGTGTATAAACATACATCTAGCTCAATCAAGAAATCACGCCTCACAAATCTGGTGGTCTTCTACGATGGGGTTACAGTGTTGGGGGATTAAGGCAAGAGCAACTGATGTCATCTGCTTGCACTTGTGCAAAGCATGTGACACTGTCCCACACAACATCCTTGTCTCAAAACTGGAGAGGCACGGATTTGACAGACCACCTGGTGGGTAAGGAACTAGCTGGACGGACACTCTCAAAGACTTGTGGTCAACAGCTCGATGTCAAGTAGAGGCCAGTGCTGAGTGGCATCTTCAGGGCCCAGTATTGGGGCCGTTTAACATCTCTGTTGGTGTCATAGACAGTGGGATCGATGCACTCTCAGCACAGTCGCCAACAACACCAAGCTGTGTGGTGTGGTCACCCACTGGAGGGAAAGGATGGCATCCAGAGGTAGCTGGACAGGTTGGAGAGGTGGGAACATGCAAACCTCATGAAGTGCAACAAGGTTGAGTGCAAGGTGATGCACCTTGCACTGGGTTGCACTTGGTTGGGGCAATTCCAAGCATGAATACAGGCTGGGCAGAGAATGCTGCTCAGCCTGGAGAAGGCTCTAGGGAGACATTAGGACCCCTTCCAATGTCTAAAGTGGCTACAAGAGAGCTGAAGAGGGACAAGGGCCTGGAGTGACAGGACAAGGGGGAATGGCTTCACTCTGACAGAGGGCAGAGAGTCAGGTTGGATATTAGGGAGAAATTTTTGCCGGTGAAGGTGGTGAAGCACTGGCACAGGGTGCCCAGAGGAGCTGGGAATGCCCCATTCCTGGAAGCATTACAGGTCAGGTTGGATGAGGCTTGGAGCAACCTGGTCTAGTGGAAGTTGTCCCCACCCCTGGCAGAGAGGGTGGAACTACTTGGGCTTCAAGGTTCCTTCCTACCCAAACCTTCCTATGATTCTATACACATTTCACGTTATCCCATTTGCAGATGCAACAAAGTGGACATTCATCATCATCAAAGTTTTAGGAACACATAACATGCGTAGGAGCATTTATAATCCTGGTGCAAGGCAGATATTGCTTCCAACAAACCCAAACAAGTTATTTTCTTTTGGGGTGCCAGCAATATTGCAGAAGACTGTGGCCTAGCTATTAACATGC